AAGTATATATATAATATNTTATTATTAATTAATAATAATATATATATATATATATATATATATATAGAAAGTATATTTATTATTAATAATATTTATTATATAGATAACAGAACTTTTAAAATCTAAAATGGATGATTCTTTAAGTACACTACATATAGATAGAGATAGAGGTATAAATAATTTAATTTTAAGTGCTATATTATTTTCTATGGCAACAACTAGATATGAATTACACAAAATAGCAAAAAGGACATTACTTAATATTCAACAAAAACGTTTAAATGTAAATATTAAGCAAATTGTAGATGAAACGATAACTGAATTTCTAAAAAGTGGTGTAATAAAAATAAAAGAAAAAGAAAAAAATGTTAATATATTAAAACCAAATATAAGTGTTGTGTTTCCATCACAGGATATATCTTCTTGTCCTACAAAAATAGAAACAAAAAAAAAACGAATAATAAAGCTTACCAATAATTCTAAATTAGAATTATGTAGTCTTGGACGTGCAGCTATGAAAGGTAAGAATAAATAATTTTATTATTAAATAATTAATAAAATATTTCTTTATATAAAATTATTTTAAATATATATATTTTATATTGAAGGTTGTATTGATATGGAATGTGCATATACATTATATCAAGACTTAAAAAAAGCACAAGAACATTTAATTCTTCTTGATTATTTACATCTATTATATCTTGTTACACCATATAATATAATATCTCAAATAAAACCAATAGGATTTATTTATTATGATATGGTAATTTTTGATTTATAATTATTTATAATTTAATTTAATATATTTCATAATTTGATTAATATTTATTAATAATTTGTAATATTCTTATAAAATTTAGATAATTAATTTATCAGAAACGCAAATGAAAACAGCTAGACTTTTAGGAATTAATGAAATAAATATAAGTAAAATACGTGATGGATTAATACCTAAAGTATGTATATGTATATAAAATTTAATTTGTATATATTAAATCTATTTTTATATTAATAAATATATTATAAATTTATTTCATACATAACAGAATGTAGAACCAAGAGTGATTCATAGATTTTATGTAACATTAATACTGTATGATTTGTGGAATCAACATGCAGTGTACAAAATAGCAGAAAAATATGATATAAGCAGAGGTATTGTGCAAAATCTTTTAACTGCTGTATCATCATTTGCATTTTCTGTAATTCGATTTTGTCAGGTTAGTTAATGCATTATTAAAATATTAGTATGATTAATAAGTATGATTATAAAATCAATTTAATTAGATCATTATTTCAGGAATTAGATGAATTTTGGGCATTTAAAGATTTATTAAATGTATTCAGTAAAAAATTATCTTATTGTTGTCCCTTAGAATTAGAAGCACTAATGGATTTACCTTTAGTTAAAATTGTAAGAATATTTTTTATTTATAGAATAAAATAAAAATTTGAAGCAAATTATAATTTATAATATTTCATTTTGTAGAGTAGAGCACGACAATTATATAATGCTGGATTTAAAACAGTACAAATTATAGCTAAAACTCAACCAATACAGTTACAAGAAAAAATTCCATATTTAAGTAAAAAGGTTGCAATGCAAATTATTGAGGGTGCTAAAGTAAATTGTTTAGTAGATTATATTTATTAATGATGTATCATATTATTAATTTTAATTTTATTACATTTAATTTAATTATATTTTACAGTTATTAATAGTGGAGAAAATAGAAAATCTACAAGATGAAACTGAAAATATTTTAGATGGAATACATATGAATACTTTAAAAGGATTTTAAATTATTAAAATTATTCGATTTATATAATATAAATATTTCATTTATAAAATATTAATTTTATATGAATAACATGTATTTTTTTACATAATTTAATTATAAAATTTTGTTAATTATGTATAATACAATTGCTATTATTTTTAAATTTTTACATATTGTGTCAAACAGATCAATGTGTTCTAAGAATAACACATTGTTTAAGCAGGCACATATATTAAATGTCCAAAACGTAATTTGATTTCATTTGAAAAAAGTATGATATCAAAACATCATGGAACAATTTCTGGCATAATATGTTATTATATGATAAAATATAATAAACACAATATAATATATATATAATAACAAAGTTTATTAAAATGCACTGCTAATAAAATATAAAAATTAGAATATTGAATTATTACTTAATTTCTAACGTTTTTTATATAAACATGGTTTTAAAGTTATAAGAGGTAACTTATTTTTTTTATTATTAATGTCTCTTTCTTTTTTAAAATCTAAAAAATAAAATAAATTATGAGATAAATCTTTCCAAGTATTTTTGAAACCATAACTATTTATTACTTTTATAAAATTTTCTATATGTTCAAATCGACTTTCAACTTCAGCTATTTTTAAAATTCCACTGAAAAATTATTTTTTTTTTATATATTCTTTTATATTAAATGTTAATACATGTATTTTTTATTTTTACTTATACTTACTCTTTTTTAAGAACTCTATTTGCTTCTATAATGTAGTCTTTAAGATTGGTTCCCATCAGAGATAGGCAAAACACAACAACATCTACTCCACTTGTTAATAATGGGGTATGTGCTACATCGCAAACAGTTACATTTTTATTCAAAGAAATAAAATCAAAAGAATGAACTTTATGAGGAACTGTAGCAGCAAGTCTTGCTTCTCCACATCCAAAATCAGCAATTATATAATGCTTTGGTCTATAACATGATTAATATATATATGTATGTATGGATTAATATAACAATTAAAAATTAATTATAATTATAACAATATGTACTATATGTACTAACATTTTTTTTATTGAAGATATTATGACATCAAGGGGATTTAAAGGCCATTGTTCGATTTGCTGTTTATATCCTTCGTGATATGCCTTAAATGCATCAGGATCATTTTTGAAATATTTTTTAGATTCTGAACTTTCATTATTATAAAGTGTTTCATTCAAATATCTGAATCTAGAAGCTTTTAATTTAGTCATCATTCTATCTCTTAAGGATTGTGGTTTTTCATTCACTTTTCTTTTTTTTCGTTCTTCTTGTTTATTATCTTTAGAAAGTAATTTTTCTAAATTGTGTTGCTTAGGAGATATTTCAGAATTACTTTTTTTTGAAGAATCTGAAAATTTATTCTTATTTTGTTTTATTTTTTTTTTTAATATTGAACTTAAATTTATTACTTTATTATTTAGTTTTTTTTTTTGTAACATTGAATTTAATTTTATTGGTTTGTTATTTTGCTCTTTCATTTCAGATTGTATATGTTTGGATTTTGTCTTTTTTATAAATTTATTATTATTAATTTTATTTTCAATTTGGTTAGAAATTTTATTTTTGTCCTCAAGATTTTTTTGTTTTTTGTCATCAATTTCATGTTTTTTTTTCTTTTGAACTTTTTTGATTAATTTATTTTTTTTTTATTTTTAGTATCTATTACTTTTATTATGTCAGAATTTAAAAAATTAATAGAATTATGATTTTCTTTATTCTTATATATTTGTCTAATTTTTTTAGATAATTTATTTTTTGTAGATTTATCTTTAAATTTTAAATTTTTATTTTTAACAATTGCGGGTTTATGTTTATCTTCATCATCTGTTAATTTTTTTTTCTATAATGTATACATATATATATATATATTTATGTATAATGAATATAATTTGATAAATTGAATAAATTTTAAATGTATATGGTAAATAGTTTTGTTTAGTACAAAACTTATTAAAATATAATTTTAATAGAACTATTAACATATAATGTACATCATATAACCTATTATTACTTACTTGACAATACTTTTTTTCACTAATACTTTTAGCAGTTTTCTTTGTATTAGATATATTTTTTTTCATTTTTTTAACCATTTCATATATTTTTTTTTGTCTAATTGTGAATATTAAAAAGGATACTTATCCCTATCTTCCACTTCTTACACTCATACATATGACTGTAATTATTAAATTTTAAACAAATGAATGTTTTGTATTAATTTTGCATATGGAAGCAGCTTTTTTTTATACAGTTTTATACTACTATGCGCTATTATTATGCAACAAAAAATTTAGACATAAATTTATAAATATGATATAATTTTTTTCTTTTTAGTTATTATTAAAACAAATTAAAGTAAAAAAATTTAATTAAATAAATAGATAATTAGTACAATAAATACTAAAATTTATGTATATATTATACGCAAGGATATGGTTGTTTACATATATATTTATTACACAATATGAGACACAATAAATAAAATAAAATCTCAAAATTTGAATATATATGTAATGCATGCATTGAATGTTCAATAGATTCATAATAGATGGCGTTTATTATAGTAATTGATAAGTGCTGCCACATAGTATAAATAAAAAATATTAAATTAATTTCTTATTATTTTGTTTCATTTTATTTTATAATTTTATTTTATAATAAAATTTATAAAATATATGTATTATGTATAAATTATTATTGCATATAAATCATTAATAATTAATATATTATTTACTTAACATTACTTGTAAAATTATTTCTAATCAAGATCGTATGTTTATATTATTGTCTATATTAATATTGATATTCTATTATTTTAAATATTATACTTATTCTTTAATCATTTATGAATATATATTTTCAGTTCTTTTATTATCTTTGTCTTTTTTATGAAATAAATTGAACTATAATATA